TTGTTGGCCAAATTTTTAATCTAAAAATTAATTATAAACAAGTATAAAGTCAAAATCACGTCTATGAAGCTTTTAAGAAGCTTTTCTCAAAGATGTTATGAAATTAATCTATTTTTATATACTTTCACTTAATTTTATTTAATCATATAAGTAATTACTAAAGCAAGTGTATATGTCTATGATAATCTATTGCTATAATGTAAATATAATCATGTATGGAAATCTTGCTTGACTTACTTTTCTTTGAACTTTTATTAAGTTCTTTTTTCTTCTTACCAATCTAGTTTTTCTAAAGTTTTGGAGAAATTTTTTCACTTTCTTCTTTTTTCTTTTTTGAAATTTTGGCTAAATTTTATTTTATCTTTAATCTTAATTTTATCTTTGGTTTAGCCTTGAAAACTTCTTTTATTCCTTTTATTTTTTTTCTAATCTTTGATTTTAATAGATTTGGAGTTATATTTGTAGATGTAAGAAGAACTTTGACTTTGAGGTTGTATTTAGGTTTTTATTAAGCATAAATAGGAGTTTTGATAGTATTAGTCGGCTGCCATTAATAGTCATGACTTGGAGGATTAGATTTGGCTAATTAAAACCAGCAAACTAAGATAAGGGTTTGAAGAAATTAGAAAAATAGAGGGTTTTGGTTTTAAGCTAGAACTTAAGCTTCAAGATGAATTTGAAGCTCTTTTTTTTTTATACATGTCACTTATGATATAAAGAGCCTATATCTAAAATCTCATGTCAATTAAGACTTTGACTTGGGAGAAATGGAAAAATTTATTCTCAGGTCTCTAGGGTTTTGACTTTCAAAAGTATCTGATAAGGATTTAGTGATATCGAATGATTGGTAATGAATTTGTAGCTAAAATTTTGCATAATGATGATCAAAGGTGTAGTTTTTGTACTCCCAAATTTTGAGATTAATTGAATTATTGGAACTTGAAATAAGAATTTTTAAGTTTTCAGTTTGGTTTTCACTTCCAAAAGCACTTTTTAAGGATTTGGTAATATCAGACAATCGGTAACAAATTTGCAGTTGAAAATTTGTGTGACAATGATCAAAGGTATAAGTTTTGTACTTCCAAATTTTAAACTTATTTGAATAGCTAGATCTTGGAATATGAATTTTCAAGTTTTCAGTTTGGTTATAGCTTTCAAAAGTATTTGATAAAGATTTGGTGATATCAAACAATTGGTAACAAATTTGTGGCTGAAAATTTGTGTGATAATGATCAGATATGTAATTTTTATACTCCCTTAAGCTTATTTGAATTGCTAGATTTTGAGATATGAATTTAAACTTCAAGTTTGTTGATTTATTACAAATATAATTTTGTAAATACTCAAAGAGGAATTTAAGAAGGTTTTGTGCATATTGGATCCAACTTGAATGCAAAGAGAGATCCTACATCTATCCAAATCAGACTCTTCCTATAACATTGTGATATTATCCTCTCTTTTAGAGACAAGTTCCACAAGGAGCAATAATCACATGTTGATAAAGTCTAAGATGGGACAAATTATATTTGCTACATACTTTAATCTTTATTTTCTTCAAATAAAGTTGATAGGTCCTTTCAACCACCAATAATATTTCATTCCAAGGAAGAAAGACCACCTTGATATTTGATCATTGTTAATGCATTTGCAACTTCCTTCAAACAAAATATTTGTAATATCATCATAAATCATTCCTACCTCCAATAACTTTTTGAATAAGATAATTTTTTATTCTCTAATATTTGAATAGTGTTCTACCATAGGAGGAGTAATATTATTTAATGTAAATATTGAAGTAGCTCCAATCATCTCTATATCTTCACTTCTTGCCAATTTTATTGCACTTTGTGGTGCTAAATTAAATTGATGCATTATAAGCATTAATTCTCTCAATTATTCTTGTATTTGTATCATTATATTTTTTATTTTAATAAGCTTTACTATAATGACATAATATATATATATATATATATATATATATATATATATATATCTAATATTTCTTAAGATAAATAAATGAAATAACTATAAATAAAAAAAATCAAAAGTAGATAATTTGTAATTTCTAATATGCTTATGTCTTATCAAGAAAAATGGATAATCTATTCTTAATGAAAAAAAGATAAAGCTTTAATATTGTAAATATACTCTTGTTATTCTATCAAGGAAAAAAATCAATGAAGGCAAATAAATAAGACTTTTTTCAAAAAAAAATGACAAAATGGAAATAAGAAAGTATGTATATTCAAAAAAAAACTAGAATGGCTATTTCCAAAAGATAAGAAAACTAGAGATCCTTAAAAATTAGACTAGAAGTAAAAAAAAGAATTGATAAGAGTAAAAAAGACTTTACTCTTACTTCTATATATATTATGTAACTAAATTCTATAGGATTTCAAACATGTGTCTAATTTGTGAGGCATGTATTTTAACTTGCAAAAAAAGTTTCTTATATGTGTACTACATGGTTAGCTTGTACTACAAGGTATCAATATGTATAATATGTGGCTAATTTTTTAGTTAAATATTCAACCTACCAATCACTTTTAAATATATATAAAGATGAAAACATGTCTATGAAGCTTCTAAGAAGCTATTCTGTAAGATATTATTAAATTAATATATTTTTACTTATTTCTATCTATTCATATTATATAAGTAACTATTGAAGTATATATGTATATTTTTGATAAGTAGAGCTTAAACAACCTCGATAAATACTTAATTTTTTGGATTTTTGAAAAAAATATATATATATTTTTAACTTTTAGGATTATGTAAGTATTGTAGCACATTTACAAGTAAATTTTTTAAATTTTTAATGGTGCTTATTTTCAATGTGTTTAAAAAATTTGATATCAATCAAATCATTAGATTGAAGAATATAAGAGTTCTATTGAATTTAAATCTTGGATATTTGAAATTTAGAATTAATTAGGATTTTTGTGATCCTGTAAAATCAATAAGTTTAATTAAAGTTAAAATTAGTGAGAGCAATTTAGACTTATAAATCTACATAATAGCTAATTTTTGAATCAATTGAACAATTTAACAATGAAAAATTATTGTTGAAAGATCAGAATGTAAGTTAGAGAAAGAGCATAGCCAACATCCAAGAGGTTTAGAAGCTTTTTTTTTTTTTGATTGGTGAGTTTTATTTTTTTCAAATTTTTTTACTTTTTAATTGCTTGTAGATTGAAATTAAAGTAAAATTTGAGTTGAGATCAATTGTTCAATTAATATTTATTGAGATTTTAAAATAGCTATAGGAAATTTTTTGAATTTGTTTAGAATTTGTTTAGGAATAAGTTTGGATTTAGAATTTGATTATAATTTTATTGGAGTCTCATTAGGTTTTATTTTAGGATTTAATATTTGATTAGGATTTTATTAGAATTTTAATAGGATTTTGTTAAGACTATATTAAAATTTAATTAGGATTTATCTAAGATTTATTTATGATCTATTTATGATTTCTATTTTTAATATTTCTTTTAAATTATTTATTATTTTATTAATATTTTATATTTAATATTTCTTTAAGTTTATTTATTATTTTTTTAAGCTTTTTGAGTATTTTTTTAATATTTATTTATTATTTTTAAATATATATATATATATATATATATATACACATATATGACTTCTTCACGTTTTTTTATTAATTTCTTTTAAACTTCTTTTGGATTGGTTAAAATTTGACTAGATTTGTTAAAATTTAATTAGAATTTATTCAAGATTCTATTAGACTTTGTAAGATCTTATTGTTGCAATTTTCTATTTATCTTCCATAACTAGGTGTTTAGTGCATTTTCAAGCTAAAATTCATATTATACGACAAAAAGAACAAGGATAGAAATAGAGAGACAAAGACAAGGAATGGAGGAAATTAATTATGAGATGCTGCTTTAACATCTATATATATATATATATATATATACATATTTGTTCAATTTACTTGATTTTTATTTTCTAACATCAATGCAAAAATGTGTTAAAATTTTTTAATATTATAATGAATCAAATATTGAATAATGCAAAAGATGGCACTTTACTCATTGTAAAAAAAACTCAAATGTATTTACAACAATAATCATATTCTAACTTTCTCTTTTTTCTTTTTTGGTTATTTCTTTTGTTTTTTTTGGGTTAAGAGAACATATTTTTTAAATTATTTCTTCATATCTTATACAAAAATGTTTCAAAACCATGCATATTCTTTTTTTACTATGAAAGATTTTCTAAAAATAGAATATATATTTTTCTTTACACATTTTTTATTTCCCAGTAGCATTGTTAATGTACTATGAATAAAAAAAATATTCAATTCTATTTTTGCAATAATAAATACATTAAACTTGAAATAAAAGCTTAAATATACTTCTTTGTAACACCCGTCAAATACTATTTATTTTTTCTGTTTGAAACTCACAAGTTATTGATTTTGGATTTCAAAAAAAAAATTGCAAATTTATCCTCCATAACTTTTAAATAATTTAAAATAAATTACTGATATCCTTTCAATAGATTTTAAATTTTAAATTTAATTTTATATTTCTCAAGAATAAAAATTCATTATTAGGAAAATTGTATGTAACACCAAATTTCATTCTATCAAAATTTATGCCATTCATATAAAAGAATTGAATGCAAAAATTCAAAAACTAAAATTTAAGCATACACTAGTAATAAATCTAGTTGAATTTTAATGATAGTTTAATCAGACTTAGATTAACAAATTGGAGTTCTTCCATACAGGCAAATGCATCCATAAAGCTTAAATTTTTTGTTTTGTAAAAAAATTGTAGTTTTTGATGTTGTGTCGAATTGAATTTTACTATTTCAAATACACTTTTAGAACGAGCATGTTTATACGTAGGAAAATGAACAATGCCTCACATCTCGAATACTTTGTTACAGTACACTACTAACATTTTAAGAATAAAATTGTGAAAGAGCATCCCATTAGTTTCGTATTAATCAATCAAACTTCATCAATAACCTGTTTCACTGTTCATATCGATTCCTTGGAATACACATACCAGCTCACACACACGTGTTTGACTGTGTGAGTCTGATAGAAATGAGGTCAGTGAGTAGAACTCAATTTATAGACGAGGGTGAGATCAGATCCATCCCTAACGCTCTCCATTTGAATCGGAACCGCGGCAACGCAGACAAAACACACATCAACAAAGACCAAAAAGTACACAGACCCAGAGTGCAGAATGGGGCTTTTGACAAGCAGTGAAGTTGGACAAGCATGCATCACTGGAGGATGCGGTGTGAGGATCATCAGACTATCCACACAGATACACAGACAGACACAGACACAAAAGGGGGGGGTTGCACTCAGGCATGTTGTTGTTTTGTACAGTTAGTTGTGGTAGGCAGGAAGGGAGGAGGAGGAGGCTCTTTCCACTAATCTCACTTGGTACTTTAACTCGTTCAGCCTGATGGTGTCCTTCTGGCGTGACAGCTTCTCGGTCAGTAACACTTCCATGAGGGACTTGTTGTCAGATTGCAGACGTTTGAACCGTTTATCATCTGATTCTCGAGCACGATCGGCTGCAGATGATTTGGCATTCCACTTAGACAACTCCTTTTCCAAACCATCGACGCTCTTGCGTTTCTCCTGCACGGCAATCAGGGTTATCAAGGTACCTTTTTAAGCTTTGTTTTGGTATGAGTGTTTGTGTTTACTATTGACCAACATTAACTCTTGATTTGTGAACACTACTCCAAAGCAAGCATGCGGAGATGTTGCCTTACAGTTACTGAAGCTTCGAGTTGATGATGCTTTGTTTCGAGCACTGGAATATGTTCCCTTGAGAAGACAGAAATCTTGTTCTCGAGTAGAACTTTTTTGTATAAACTCCTTAGTGTACGAACACATTTCTGCAACCTTCTACATTCCAAGGCAAACTCGTCCCTCTCGAGGGTTGCCTCCTGCTCCATAACAAATATTAACAGATTTTTGTTAATTTTTTCTAGTTTCGCAGTATCTACCCATGATTCCTAATCTGCTTTCTCAGGAAAAAAAGTGCGTTTATAACAAGGCTAGAGAAAATAAAACAAAGAAACTAGCAAGCACGAAGTTGAGTTATGCAGACACACAAAAGTCTAGATGTTTGAGCAAATGCCAATTTCATCCGAATGCTGCAAGCTCCATGATGCCACAATAAATCAGATTCAGGAATGGCTCCAACACAAGCTTAAATACTCTTAATCCTGCTCCAAGACGCAGGGATAGACGAGGACTTCAGAACTTGTATGCAATTCACAATTCCTGACGAGGAATAAACTTGACCACATCACCAGTCCCAAAATCCAATATCTGCGAGTTTAGATTTCATCTCTGCAATCACGTGGGATTCAACAAAGCAGTTCGTTATGCTCAATGACTTTTGACTCTCGAATGAAAACCTTACTATTGGCTCAAAACAATTGTTTCATATCACGGTGTTATTAGTAATAGACGCTTCCCCGGGACAGACACAACAGCAGATGTTGAGCCTTAATATCCTGCTTTGGTTGGCAATCATTTCCGCAACTGCATTGCATAGCCAGGATAAAGAACATTTCTTCTATCACTTACATATAAAATGCCATATAATGATCAGGACTGAAGGTTCACATGTACCATGAATACAGATTTAAGTATGTCAGAAAGGGGCTTACTCTTGTCCTCGAGACTTGGTAATCTGCACTTAAAGTTTTCAATTCACCTACGTTAGCGGCAACGGTCACCTGAAGGTCGCCAAACCTTGCTTTATACCCTGCACACCCCACTCAAGAGCAGTCCACATATATGGGCATCACGTTGATGTTTCATTTGAGACGTTTAACGAGCTTGCGAAAGATATAAACACCTGAAATTCGACAGGCAGCTAAGAAAATCTTGTCCGTCATGAGTTCGTAGTACTTTTTTCTGATAAACTGATGTCTATCCTTCCGGAATTGTGGATTCCACTAAATACGTGATGCTGAACAAGTTTCGAAAGTGAGGAAGTTGGAAATAAGAGTACAAGCCTTTTGATCTAGACTTCAACATCGTCAGGGTTCCGCTTCGACGAGCTTCCAATCCTGAGGTCTCCAAATAACTAATGTGTTCTTCTAATCTCCTGACAGAACATAAAGCCAACCAAGGTGTTACAAGCATCGAAGAGACGCAGGGGTCCAACTACAGGCACAGTTTTGAATTTAACTGGCGCTTCAGTAGCATTCGAACGTACTCTATATTCCAAACTAAGTGAATTTGAATTCACGCAACCTGAAACAACTGAAAAGGCTGAAGCCTCCGCAGGACATAGATTATTGTAAAAATCAAAACCTGTTCAGCATGTGCACAGCATGGTGATGAGACTTGTGAGCTGCGAAGTGGAACTTCTGATCTTGAAACGCACTTATCAATGTCTCCATTTCCTCCACCAGCGATTCTTTGTCACGATGGACTCCATAGTAGGGCACAAGCTTCCTCTTCTGGGTCAGAGGAAGGTTCGATTTTGTAACATCCTTGCTTGGTCGACATGCGGCCGAAACCACTAGAATAGGCTCATCACCATGTTCGTCGTCCGAATCGCCATCACTTGTTGAGCAATTCCGGGAGAAGCTTCGAGAAAGATGAGACGATCGGGTGATAGGGGGTTTGCAATTCGTTGCCATTTTACCAGGGTATGTGCTGGGTGGGAGCAAATGCAAAAGAAATTCAAGTTGGTGCGACAATTAGCTGCATAATCACCATGAATGGAAATCCTCAGGCTGGATTGCACCGAACATCTGTATCGTTGATTCTCATCACCACAAACTAGACCAACTTGGTTGTAGCTTCTGCACAAGCGAACAACTGTGCCGGAGTGAAATCATTAATCGTGTGATTGGTATGCAATCACATAATTCTGAGACACACTTATCTGAACGTAAAACCACTTTCCACATATATACTATTCTTTTGGAACCAGACTAGTCGACCACTTTTTTATGTCAGGAAACGGAACTAACCGAATGACAAACCTAGCGCTCTCAGACGTTTTCAGCTTGACCATGTCAAAATAAAGAAGGTGACATATCACATCAGGGCTACCATCCACATTTTGTTAGAAGCAGTTTCCATACCGTAGCACTTATGGAATGTGCGTTGACCTTGCCTAGCAAAGTTCGTCACAAGGACGCCGCGACATTGACTTAGTTCACCTCTACCGACATTTCCAGAGTACATTTCGCAACTGTCCGTTTACATCACTTCCTGAAACAACCAAATTGCTTAAGAGTTCACATGTCTGTCCACAGGTTCCACCGTCACATCGGCCACAGCACAGCATTGGCAAACATTGACAACCAGTTACTCCATCTTGCACGGCACAGTTGGACTCGAAAGAGCAGGCACTGTTATAAGACCAAGCGTGAAAGGGTGTGCAATGCATAGTGTCCCTTAATGTCTGAAACCTAATGACCATTGAAAAGACCATCAGGTTTAATGGACAGAGAGGTTAAAGAGACAGCACACCAAAACTAGACTTTCTCAAAAACAGCACACACCTCCCATCAATGAAACATACACAGTTACCAGAACCTCTGATGCAGATAGAAGCCGAGGAGAAAACAAAAAAGTCAACTCGCGGATGATGGGACGGTGAGTAGTTTGCTCATTCCGTCGTCTAAATTTAGAAATACAAGTATGTACAATGACATACGCCCCCTCGCCTAGCATGCTGTTACTCCACTACTCACTGTGGCATGAAAATTGACCATCAAGCCACATATCGCCGTCCCTCAAAACTGTGCTAGGGTTAAGGGTTCGCCTGCTTGTCTCTAACGCTACCTGAGTAGTGGGTGTAAGACCCAGAGTACAATATGAACAGACTTACAAAGGAATAGATGGAACTACATTTGAGATTACGAGATCGAGTTTCGCCATCTTTGATTGTTCGTCGTGCGCGCTCTCGAGCCCGATGATGAGGAGTCATGGTCAGCCTTGATTGGAAACTTCTGGCATCGGTCACCTTTACTGGGTTTCTTCCAAGGAGTCCATGCGGAGCCTGAATTTCTCCGCGGCCTCGTCGTTGACAATTTTTCGATCATCTTCATCATGGCTGTATGATTTCGCTCCAGTTCTGAGTACATGTGTCTCATGGTGGAAAGCTCATGCTGCAGCGCTCTTATCTCCATTTGGTTTGTAGTCTCTAGCATCGCTTGCTGGCTTCCTATCGAATCCACGGAATCGTCGTGCCTGGGCTGTCCAGTTTGGACAGCTCCGTGATCCTCCTCGATCGATTGTCTTATCCCAGTAATGGCTTCTCTTAGCTTGAGCTGCTCACCGAAGAGGACCTGGACAACAATTCGAAGAGGCAGGCGTTCGTTTTGCGCAGCATGCATGCATGCCGCTATGGAGAAGCGCTGGCAGTCCAGTATCCGGCAGAGCTTCTTTTTCTCATGTTCTCCCATGCTAGAATGTATCTGTAAAATACACGCATTGTTTAGTGACACTGATCCCAATACTAGAATTCACACGCAGATCAGAAGGTTAACTCCAAAATGAAGAGAATGCCCTAAATCTTAGGCAGACGAAGCAGATGAAAAATGAATCAGTTGAAGACGAGTCACTAACCTTGAGATACGTATCAATTGCCCTGTAAAGCCCATCATCCGACACCCTCATCGCAACTGGCACAGCCTCGGCGAGCAGAAGGAACTTCGTCAAGGGTAGCTTGCTGTCGCGCGCTACCTCGGCTAGGTAAGCGTCCATGAGCCTGGCAACTAGCTTTGATCTCGCGCTGGGGGCCACTGCCTGCATCTGCTGCTTGGAGGAAGCGCTCAAAAACAGATTCCCAAAAATTCTCCTATTGAAAAACTTGTTCTTCAGGCCCGATCCTAACCCTTGTTCCTGAACCAAAAATTGCTCCAAAAGACGGCGCACGAGATCCACGTCATAGAGGTATTCGCTTGTATGGCAGAATGAGGGGATGAGCAAGTCGCTCAAGCTAGCCTGATCCAACTGGTGACCCGCCTTTGTCTCGAGCTCCATCCGACACTCAGCCGAGCAGTTAAACATGTTGGCTGCTCGCAGCATTCGAAGCAGAAAGCTGCACTGCACTGAGTCCTTCAGCTGGGGTAGCATGCACACGATCTTCTCGATGACGAAACGATTCCTGTTCTGCTCCGCAATGACATCATGTAATCTCGCAGCGCTCTCGGGAGCATTTGAGTCCTTGACATGAACAGGGGACCCTCTCGTGGGGGATGGGAACTCGTGCACAGGAGATGAGTCTCCGGCAGGAGAACTTGGGCGGCTTGCGGATAGTCGAGGAGAATCCTTGGGAGTGTTCTCGGGTGTGCATTTCAAGACACCTGGGAGCCACTTCTGGGCGTAGAGCTCCAGGGCGCCGCCAATGAGGACGGCACTCATGAGGTTCATTTGCATGGCCGTAACCACTTTCTCGAAGCAGTAGAGAGAAAGGGAGGTGACATCTTCATACCACCAATTTTCTGTCACAGCTGGCTTGAAACTTACAGCAGATCTTGCAGATGACCACCTTACTTTGTGAGGCTCCAAACATGCCTTGCAAGCGATCGATTCGCTGCATCTTTGCACAATCCGTAACTCTTCAGCTTCGGGCACAAGGTGCTCGCAAGACTGCAGTACGGTGAAAGACTCTTGCCATGAGGTCAGAACCACGGAGCTCAAGTAGGCCTCCGATTTACTTATCACATTACCTTCTTCAAGCTCCTCCGTCATTTCAAGATACTCTGCAGCGCAACGAAGGCCTGCCACATTCGAGGGTGAGAGCTCCAAGTCGATACCATAGCAAAGCTTCGCAGCGAGGGCAAACGCCTCGGCACCCCCTGCAATCGACCCCAAGCTGATGCATGCCATCTCCGAATCGCCGAACTTATCAGCGAGTCTACTCAACAGCGCGCTCCTTGATAAAATCGGAAGCTGCACTCCACAACATATGTGTCTCTCATCAATACCATAGACTTCTGCATTCTAAGCATATAGACGGCTGCTCACACAATGACAGCAAATTTTAACCGCATTGACAGATACTGGATTTGGCAAGCTTGCGCGCACCTTGTGTAGATGGAAGGTAACATCGTTAACCTCCACTTGTAAGTCACTACGCCTGTCTGTCGAAACCGTCCAAGTGTTGCTGTTGATAGCCTCGAAACTACACGCGGGAGCCGGCGTGCCCCGAATCCTAGCAACCATCTCTGAATCCGAGCTCGTGGTAGAACTCGACTCAGTGGAACTTTCTGCAGACAGCACCGTGGTAGGACTATCTGGGACCGGGGGTTTGTTCTTCCACCGTCTCTTGGAGAAACTTCCCAGTCTTGAATCTACTCCACCACTCCTCCCCCAAGGCGACATTCTCACAACCAAATCCTATAACCGGCTTCTATCCTGCTCGTCCTTGCTCTCCTCTTGCGATTCCTTCCCACTTCCTTCCGATGTCACGACTTCTATCAGGCTAAGCTCGCCCAGACCTTGCAGCCTTGCGCGCATGTGATCAGTACCCCAGTACACAAATCCTCCAGAATTACTCAAGATTCGCACCAGTTCGTACGACTGAGTGTGAATCAAACTTGTTCGCAAGTAACGCGGTGATTTAAGCAATCATTCGAGACGCTGGCCAGATGTGAGAAAAAGCCAGTATCCGTTTAAAGACCCACAGAGATGAGACGGGATGTCTGACCGAGATGGTGTAGTATCGCCGATAGCACAGATCGATGAAAATTCTTTTGCTGTGTGGGACCTGATGTGGGTCCTCCTTATCATGAGCTTACCATGGGTTCCACCAGCAGGAGCAAATTGAGAGTAGACGACAAGATCGACATCAATTCGCATTTAATGTTCTCGCCCGGCGGTTCCAATAACCGGCATTTAAAGCTGAGGTAGAAATGTCGGAGCCGGCAACCATCAATTATCTGCATGTCCTTGAAATTTAACTGAGTAACTAATAAGATGTACATGATGTAGTAATAAGCAAATAAACAATAAAGCTTCAGATGCGCTGTGGATCTTCGCTTAGACAGGTAGAAGCTTTGAGAGAGAGAGAGAGAGAGAGAGAGAGAGAGACCCATTTCAGAAACTCATCAACGGGCATGTTTTTGCTGGAAAGAAGAAATCACCTTTATTACTGTAGGAGAGAGAAGGAGAGTATGTCTTGAGATTTGAATTTTTCTTTTCTTCTTTTTCTTATTAATTGTTATATAGAAATTGGTTTGTTAAGTACCAACCTGTAAGTACCAAATCGTTCTGTGACCTTAGAACATGAACAGCAGGGTTCCAAAAGCCTCAGTGGTATATCTTTTCTACCCTATGCTGGCCTTGCCCAAGGACATGTACATTCATGTCAAGAACCACAGAAATTGTCTGTCTTCCTTTGAAATTTTACCTAACATACAGATTCGTAAAAAAATCTTGACTTGGAGACAAGGACCAAAGAGGTTTGGGTACAATTATTCCTAATTCGTGGACAATATCAAGGATAATAGTGTTGACCCATGCAGAGGTGATGAGAGGGAACCTGGACAACAAAACCAAAACCTTCTAAAGATGAAAACCTGTATCTTCTAAATTGACTGAGTTTGTGGCTCTCAAACCTGGGCAAGCCTGGTAGTGCCTACCTTAATGCTTCCTACTAGTGGCTGGTATTATCAGTATTAATCGAGTGAATTCTCCAGGCTTCGTAAAAATCATTTTTTTGTAGCCACAAAATAGATATTCTCCGCATTTAAATTTCCTCCTTTCTATTCTAATTAAAAGGAGAAGCTAATTGGCTTAGATGAAGGCGGAGAGAGTGTGATGCGGTCAAACTCTACACCGAGTTCAATGGAATAGCCACGATATACAAGGCAAGTAGTTGGCCAATAGCCGAGCCAAATACTGCGTATATTGTTAAGAAGTTGGTGGCACTCGTAGACAATTGCCCTTACACTTCCTATATAGCAATATGTTCCTAATTTAGATCCAATGAAAGTGAAGACTACAGCTATCATATCCAAACTATCAAGTTATGTTCAAGAATGCCATTGGATATCACAACTTTACAACTACATACAGCCAATTTTCATTGAATATGACCACATCAGCAGCAGATCAGACCACAATCACATTCTAGCAGGAGATTGGTCCCGCATACTTTACCAGGCAGACGGTTGAGAGCTTATCTTTCAGGCCATGGAGAGAGGCCCCCAGTTTTCAGGGCGTCAATGCTGTGTCACATACCGCAATTGGGTCACAATCAAATAAGCTTTGAGTTACACTCATTTATAACAAAACCTCCAGGGGACGGTGACTTAGAAATGTGAATCTCATCAACCTAGGATAAGGTCTCGAAGTTGATTAATTAGTAAACAGAGGAAAACGAGGCGCTAGAGTAGAGTACAGCCTTGTATTCCTTCATCATATTTCAGTTCTGTAATGATAATATCGAAATTGAACCTGGTGGGTCACAGCTCTATTTAGAAAGATGAGGATTTTGACCTCTACTAATGATACTCTTTAACTGTAAGGTTGGGAATTAAATCAAGACATTCCACGGCTTCCAGACAAAAAATAGTGCAGAATGATAACCTGCCTCCAGCATTCTTCACAGGCAGAAGGATAAATTCAACATAGAAGAAGAGCAAGAAGAAGAACAGGTCAAGTAGTGAAACCAATCATCTAATCTCAGCAGAATAAATCAACTACTGATTATATGCAATCTAGACGCAAACATTAGATTGATCTTGTTGGGTCGCCCAATTTGGTGTTAGAATGGGTCTTACAAGCGAATGTGCAAATAAAAATAGGGACAGAAAAATCATGCACCGAATGGTGAATTATTTGTATGTGACAAGTATGATTCCAGTTCCTAGAGCCGCCTCCTCACATCCTAAATTAACTTACCAGTTTGAAATTGTTTGTCTCGGTGCAGGTGAAGCCATAATCAACTTTGATAGCTGAACGGCATCATTAAATGTGGATTCCATCTGGAGCTGAAACCACTCTCGAAAACACCGTCGCCACACCACCAATCGCTTACCTTCAGGAGTGAAACCTGGCTGAAGTGCTATTGGAAATTTGTTGTAGGAGTTGATGGAAGAAGATTTGTCGACCTAAGCCTACCATGCCCCTTTTAGACTAGGGACGACGACATTGCCACCTGAACCATCTCCAACTTCGTCAGCAAAATGTTCTTATCGTCGATAATGCAAAGGGGGTGCCCTGCTTCCGTCCCCGAACCTTTCGGCAGGAAGCGGAGTATTTGTGGAATGGTGTCAGCTCTTACTCATAATGATAAGTGATACTGGAAAAGCGCAAAGTGGGGAATCTTTGAAACAGAACAGGTAATACTCCATACCGTCTGCATTACAGAGTCCAAGCACTGTGCAAGAACAAATCCACTTTATTGCTCTCCTAAGACGCATAACAAAGTAATACAAAAGTATGATCATGACGTCACGAAGTGCATAGTTGTTTTCCTTCTTTTACCAAAGACAAACGTGAATGGTGAAATAGCACTGAAGATTCCAGTGTGGTCTGTGTCCATTTCAGACATCCACGTCATACTAAGCGATAGGTGAATAGAATATATATTATATCTACTTTTGGAGAAAGAGGGTGGGTTGTTTTAACCTGGAGTTTGGCTCATATTGTTTCCGGTGATTGAGGAAATCGTTGGAAGTACACCTGAAGATTGTCAACCCTTCCTTTTTCGGAATTTGTTCGAAGTTTCAGAGAAGGCGAAGGGAAAACACTTAAAAGTATAGCATGTAGCATTTTGTAGCTGTAAAAGAAGTTTTTCCAGAATTTAGTGATCAACCTCCATGTGCTTCTGTGCCTTCTCCAACCATGGGGTCGCACTTTTATAGCTCTTTAATTTGTTCGGGTCTGGTTTCTTCCTTTCTTTTTCGTTGGAGAAACCCCTGCATGCGCATTAATCGGATTGCAATCGCAGAGCAGCCGATCTTCATCCTGGACGGTAACAGGTGCTGGTGAGACTAAGAGTTAGTTAGGTGGCAGTGCAGATAGATATGTTAGTTACCGCAACACGAAAACATTTGTCTAAAGTGCGGCTGGCAATGGCAGTTTCGATTTGGGGTAGTTTCTGGGGATCGAAGCAGTCCAAAAACAACGCTCTTTCACTGAAGCAACATCTCACCGACTGTGTTGTCCGGTTTTAGTAGAGTCGCAACGGTGGAAAGTATACAACTGATCAGTGAACCGAGATGGAACTCGGAACAGGAATGTCAAATAAACGACCACCACACACTTGCTCCCGGCAGCAACAAAATAACATGACTAATAAATAGAACAGCACTCACTCATATAGAAATGTATATATTTTTACTGGTTGTCGAGAGAACAGCTCTGTGAAGATAGAATGGTGATAGGATGTGATCCTTCGGCACTATGACAGAGTCGGAACACCATCCAGCCTGAACTCACTAACTAACTTACTAACTTACTAACTCATGCATGAGCTGAGGACACACAAGCGGAACGGGGTGGGAAAGAAAAATGGGGGAGCGTCAATTTCCTGCATGGGGACACAATTCGATGAATGATTTGTGGATGAATGAATGTCGATTGAGTTCAGTGTGCGTTGTCGATGTAGAATGCCGCCTCCGTCCGTCAGTCCGTCCGTCCTGAGTGCAACGAGGAGCCCTCGTTTACTTACTCCGATTGCCGTCCTTGCCGTCACCGACGCGTCGATTCGCGTCGCAATCGGACAGCGTCATTCATCCTTCACACATGCCCATCCAACTGACGTCCCTGGTCATCCGTGAATCAGAACATTCGTGCACTTGACTTTCAAGCGGACAATTTTATTGAACAAATATTATATTACTTTACAAATAATGGGATTCATTAATTTTCATGTTGAAAAAAAAATCTATTTTTGAAGGGAATAATTCTTATATTTTTGTATCTTAGAATAAAATTCCAGGTCTTCATCATTGTATATTTTTTTATTTGCTTATTTTCTGTGGATTTTAAAACTATGTAATATATATTGGAAAAAAGTTATTTATTTTAGATGAAATCAACATCATCAAAACAAGGTTTTTTCCTTAATATCTTACATAATACTAACTTGTAACAAGATGCCTTATATTAAAGCCCAAACTTATTCACGTCAACTTATTCACATAATACATAACTTATCTTGTTGAATGTCACTGTATTAAGTAAATCCATAATAAATAATCAAATAATAAAATAAAATCATCTATAGATTGATATAAATTAATCCAATATTTTATTTTTAGAAGGAAATACTTCTTTGATTTTTATGTGTTTTTTATATATGGGATACAAATTAAAAAGATAGTTTCATGTTTTTTTGTTAGAATTTTTCAAATTTTTGTCATAATACGATAATAAGATGAAAGAAAAAAATATGACTAATTATTTAAAAAATCATGGATAAAAGATAGGAAGATAGTAAATATATTTAGTAATAATATTGTCTTTTTGTAAAAAGACAAAAAGACAATATTATTACTAAATATATTTGCAGGGCCATTATCAACACAAAATGAAGTAGATTAGAAAAAAATAATACACTCATCCTTACAAATGAGTAAATGATAGATTCTAGCAAAATTACCTTAAATAACCAAAAAATAATATCTAAAGAGGACTTATTGTGAACTAGGGTCAAAAACTATGCATATATAGGAAATTTGGGACTTTATTAGAAAAATAC